AGAGGGCTGGGGTCTTTAGGCAAATATTTGGTTAGGGCACCACACTGCCTTCTTTTTATTTTTTTATTTTTAATTTTTATGTATGTATGTACCTACGTATGTATGTATGTATAGGGAGGGTCAGAGAGAGGAGAGAGAGAATCCCAAGCAGGCTCCATGCCCAATGCAGAGCCCAACGTGGGGGCTTGATCTTATGACTGTGAGGTCATGACCTTAGCTGAAATCAAGAGTCAGATGCTTAACCAACTGAGCCACCCAGGCATCCCTTATGCCTTCTTTTTATGTCCCAGGAGGTTGGCTTTCTCAGAGAACAGACAAGACAGGCTGTTGGGTCTCATTCACTCATTTATCAATCCATCCTTTTATTCAGTATATATTGAGTGCCTCTTATGTGTCCGGAAGCAAAGAGATTACCAAGATTGCAGTAACCTGATAAGGGTGCCCATGTTTCCTACCATAGGATGGTATACCTCACTAAATGGGGCTTTAAGGAAAACATCCCCAAGAATCAGGGAGACTAAATACTGTGAGGAGGAGGAAGTCGGAGAGAAGGCCTTGCTAGCCAGTGAGTTCACCGGAAGGGGCCTCCACTCGCGTCCTCCATGGAGTTTTATCTCCCAGGCCGCTAGCAAAGCTGCAAGTTCACCTTCCCGTCCTCTGCTTAGTGATTCATCAGCCCAGCATCTGAGTGCTTAAGGGAAGAATATGTGAACACTGCCTCAGGAATCTTAACTCACCAAAGCATGCATATTTCCACCCATATCATTAAGACACTAAGGATTATAATCGTACTGAGATGTGGGGGAGCATGGCTCTCTCGGAGGACTGTAATGCATCCTGAGAAACAGGGTCATGGAGTTTGTATAATTTCTAGTCATCCTGCCTCCCAAGACATCATCAGTCCTTCCAAATGCAGAAAACAGACTTCATTTCCTCCTTTGGAAGTGATTCAGCCTTTGGTACATGCTCTTCTCAGCTGTGGGAAATGTAACATTATGTTTAGAACAGCTATTGTCATTTTATTGGCACCACTTACCAAAAGACACTTAAGGCATAATTCAGACTTCAATCTTTTTTGCATTGTTTGGTGCGCCTGCACAACTCGAAGAGTGAGTGTTGTTGCCCGAGGTAATCAATACCTCAGAGCTAAGGCAGATGGACAGGAAGCATGAGGGAGGGATTTCTGGACTGGTTGGACCCAGTGTGTTCTGATGGTGCCCAGGAAGCACAGAGGATCAGTATGGCACAGTCGGGAACCATGGCCTACCCTGAAAGGGTCTTCCACTGGCCGCATGCACACCTAAGAGACACAGAGAAGGCACCTCAGTCTCCATCGGAGACCCAGGTTTCACCCGTCAGCCACCCTGTGCTTTGAGAATCACAGCAGAATAGTTCATTATGGGGGAAAGAGATGCGGGACTTTTCTTCAGAATGTTTTCCCCAGTAAAAAGAAGCACAATGTCTCACAATGATCAAACTAGAAATTTCAAGATGATAATTCGAGGTGAGTCTGATGAGAAAAAGCAAGTTCCCATGGCTATAGGGTCCAATGGAATGAAATCCTACAAAGTGACCTTATTAAACAAATACACTGACTTACACAGCACCTCGGGGGTGTACTGAGTGCTCCATAAATGTCTTTCAAATGAATGAACGAATGAATGTCATGTGGCCACATGTATCTGGTTGATCTCTTTATCAACAAGTCAAGGACCTGACTTGTAATTCAGATCCTGGGTCTCCTGACCCTAATCATCACCCAGTGACGTAATATTTGCAGATGCCCCTGTCAATTTTGTAGGAATTTTTTTTAGGGGGCTTCCCCACGAGTAGAACTTTCCCAGGGTGCAGGACCTTCAATGCTGAAACCCAAACAACCCCTAACAAACTGGGTGGGATGGTCAGCTCAAGTGTCAGAGTCCGCCCTGCCCCTCGGGCAACCCTCCATCAGCCCCCCTGCGGCCAAGCATCTGCCTCTACTTCCTCCCGACCGACCAAAATGAGGCTCTGCCGCCTCTGTTCCACTGAGACTTTTTTTGGCTGAGGCCGCCAAATCCAAAGAACGCTTTTGGTTTCACTTGTGCTATCATGTCTTGTGACGCCACTAACCACTGGCTCTTTAAAGTTACCTCTTCTGTTAGTTTGCATTGCACAGACCTTTCCTGGCTGTCTTCCTGCCTCTCTAGCTCTTCTGGACAGGCTCAAATGTTTTCTTGCCTTTGGTCCCATGGCCCCTTGTACCTGACTTTATTATAGCACTTACTCCACAGTCCTGTAATTATTTATCTGGGGGCACTCTTGCCTTAGATTGTGTGCTTCCTTGAGAGGAAAAACAGGATTTTATCTGTCTTTTTATTTATATCACCAAGTTCAATGCCTGACACATGATAGAAACTCTATGGTTGAATAGATCCTTTAACCTTCCCTCTTCATCCTGTATGTATGGGATATGCAGGAAAAATAAGAAAAGGGAAAATTAAGTATTTCTGCCATCCTTTGGCCCACGAACTTGCCCCTCAACCCCTCAGGGGATTCACAAGGGCCTCATGTTCCAGGTTCCAGGAGTTTCCCTGAAGGGAATAGGGGCCACTTTCTATACATAATGTGGCTTTTCCTCAAAGGGAGATTTGGGCTTAAGTACATTTCACCCTCATTAATTTAAGGCTCTAGATGGATGAGTCCACTGTTAATAGAGCTCCAAGGGATGGAGGTATTGGATACGAGACTTTTGTCATTTTACTGCATCCACCCAGCCCAAAGCTCTTAAAGCAATAACTGATTAAGAAACAGCAACACTGAGCTTCTGGGGTTGAGAGAGGAAAGGAAGAAGACGATGAATTACGAAAACATCTCAGGGCATTTGTTCTATTCATTCTATTTACTGCACTGCGACGCCATTAACCACGATGGTTAATCCCATGGGCTCTACAGTCTGATTTCCTGGGTTTGAATTCCAGCTCTGCCACTTTCTAACTGGATGATCTTGAGCAAGTTCCTTCCTTTTCTATCCCTCAATATTCTCATTAGTAAAATGGGGGGGGGGGGGTAATATAATATCTTTCTTATGGGGTTATTTGAAGAATTAATGCAACTATATAAAAAGCTCAAAACAGTGCCTGGCACATGGAGATATCTAATCACCATTAGCAAAAGTGCTCTTTCTTTCATGTCCCCCGACTTGCTGTGCTCTAAATAGCCCCCTCTACTAATACTTTCACACAGTACCCCTTCTCATCCTGTCATACTTTATTGTGAGCCTTTACTGACCTGCTGTCCCTTACTAAAGTATAAACTTTAGGGGTTCTGCTTTTTCCTTCCATTTGCATTCTTACTGCCCATCATAGTGCCTGTCACCTAATAACAATAGTTGGATGTCAAATGAATGATGAGAATCTACATTTCATAAGCTTATATGTCAATTATCAACCCAAAGTGATCAGTACTGATTTAGTGAGTATCTACAATGCACTCCACTCTGACGGATAATCCCAATAACAGCTGTCATTACTGAATGATCACTGTACCAGGTCCTATGGTAGGGACTGGGTTCAACTCCCTGCAATTGCTATTTTTATAGGTCAGGTACTGGGAATTTCAAATGGCCCAGTCTAATACTATGTGTATTCAATTCTCCCAAGGTAGAATGGGGCATTAATTTTCCTCATTTGGAGATGAGAAACCTGAGATTTACAGAGGTCAGTAGCTTACCAAGGTCCCACAGCTAATAGGTAGTGGAGACGAGGCTGGATCCATCCTATAAGCCCCCAAAACCGGTGCCCTCTGCCACTATGCTTAACTGACTGAGCCACCCAGGTGCCCCCTTCTGCCACTATGCAGTGAGGGAAGACTGCTGTCCTCACGTGCCCTCATCTGGTTTTGAAGGCAGAGCTATGGCTCAGGAACACTGCCCCCCCCCCCCATAGTAAATATAAGCCCTAAACTGGATCCAACTTGCTGAGATTATGCAGGGAGCCAGTATGTCCTGTTCAAAGTTAACTGGGAGGAAGGGCAGAGGCTCTGGGGCAAGTCTAACAATGCTACTTTCCTTCAGAACATTCTTGATTGTAATTTTCTCGTGCACTTGCTGGCCTTGGCCTCAGGTCCTAATTACATTATGTTCAAACAGCAACTAAGAGATAGTTCTCATTAAACATAAACAGGGGAATGTTTAATTTGTGGGAACATAGGTGTTCAGAAAGCAAATCGTTGGTTCAGGGTGTTGAAATGAGCATTGCCGTTGGCGTTGTCCTTGGGCACCACACAGCCAGGACTCCCAAGATCTGTGGCTCTGAACTTGAGGCTTTTTTGTTTGTTTGTTTGTTTGTTTTACACTTTTGAAGATGGACCAACTCAATTTCACTCCCTCTCCCCTTAAAATGGGAGAAACTATCCTAGTTGTCATTTCAAAATTATGGCATCTGAGGGATTACAATTTGCATGTGTTTCCCCCATGTGATTCTCAGGCGATGTTTATTTAGGATAATCATATTTGTACAGCATCCAAGAATATTGATAAACGCTTAGCTTTCAATAATGTGAGCTAAGAGCTAATGTCATAGCAAAATGTAGTGTAGTCTTTATTTCAATTTGGGGTCACTTTGGATTCAGAAAGACCTGGGTTTGAAAGCATGACTTCATTACATCCTAGTTATGCATCCTTGAGCAAATTTTTTAACATCTCCAAGCCCAAGTATTCCCATCTGTAAGATGGCTGTGACAGCAACCTTGCTGGGTTATGGGGATTTGGTTATTTGGTGCCAGCTAAGCCCAGAGCCCAGTGTTTGACAGGTCAATGCAAGCCCTCTTTCCATCTTGTCAAATGCTCCTTGTCACCAATTTGGGAGAGAATGTAAGAGTGGATGAGGTAATAGCAGAAGAAGTATATTCTGGCATGGGAGGGAGGAGAGGGAAGACTGGCCGCCTTCTGAGGCGGTGAAATGACCTAGTGGTGCCAAGTGAGGGCTGCCTGCTGATGGTGTCCTTCTCCCTCTGCCTTCCAGCCCCTGAAAATGCACTGCAGGGACTGTGCCCTGGTGACCAGCTCGGGGCATCTGCTGCACAGCCGCCAAGGCCCCCAGATAGACCAGACCGAGTGCGTCATCCGCATGAACGACGCCCCCACGCGCGGTTACGGGCGCGACGTGGGCAACCGCACCAGCCTGAGGGTCATCGCGCACTCCAGCATCCAGAGGATCCTCCGCAACCGCCACGACCTGCTCAACGTGAGCCAGGGCACCGTGTTCATCTTCTGGGGCCCCAGCAGCTACATGCGGCGCGACGGCAAGGGCCAGGTCTACAACAACCTGCAGCTCCTGAGCCGCGTGCTGCCGCGGCTGAAGGCCTTTATGACCACGCGCCACAAGATGCTGCAGTTTGATGAGCTCTTCAAGCAGGAGACTGGCAAGGACAGGTAGAGGGCGCAGGGTGGGGAGTGGAGGGCCGCAGGGGAGGGTGAGGACGTGTGGCTGCTGGCTGATTCACTGGAAGCCAAGCTTTTGCTGAGGCTTTTTGTTGGGGCCCCGCTGTTCATGCCATTGATAGAGCTCCTCTGTAGGGTCCTGGGGACTGGCTGCCTTTGTAAGGCAAAGTGAGTGAAGCACTGAGACACTGTGTGGAGAGTTCAAGGCCAAGTCCCTGTTTTGGAGGAACAGGCGACAGAGCTGCTGGCTTACACTGGTAATAAGTGCAAGATTGTATGTTTTATTGCATTTCCTTTCACTTGTGTGAACACTAACCAAAAGGAGAGTATGGGTTTATTTTTCCCTTTCGAGGCATTTATTCAGTCCACGGACAGGTACTGAGTACCTACCTACTCCTCCACTGCACCAGGCACTGGGGGTATAGTCGAAACAAGACAAATCTAGGCCCTGCCCTCCAGGAACCTAAAGCTTTCCCAGGAGGACAAATATTTACCAAGTAGTGGCTCACATGCCGAGTGTCATGCAAGGTAAAGAAAATGGTGCTGTGACCTGCAGGACAGGGAGACCTACCATAGTCCAGGGCAAAGTTTTCCTTACTCTTAGTTACAGCTCAAATGATGGGACATGAAATCAGTGTAGTGAGTCACTGTAAGTTGTTTTTTTTTTTTTTTTTTAATGTAATGGAATTGATGGAATGAAATGGAATGGAATAGAAGACAATATCAAGATTCATCCCCCATTTTAAGACAAAATATTGTTAAATGAAATAACACTTATCCATGTCAGTTTTGTACATATGAATATACACATGTAGAGGTTTTTTGAGGTAATGAAAATGTTCTGGAATTAGATAGTAATTCCACAATATTCCCTGTGGCTGCAGTCAGGAGGGTTTTGGGGGGAGTAGTCCTTGACGACACTGAGATAAAGGGCCATGAGCTGGCCAAATCTAGGTGAAAAGCAAAGGACAGCTGGGTGTCAATAGGTGTGGTGCAGTGTAGTCCAAATACAGATCTCTAGGCAAGAATTCTGACTCTATCTTTCAGTGGTTGTGTGGCCTTGGACAAGTTATCTAACTCTGCAGGGACCTCACATGCAAAAAGCGCATAGTGGCTAGGCCTCATAGGACTGGTCTAGTGATTAAGTTTCTTTTTTTCCTTAATTTTAAAATATATAATTTTAGGGACACCTGGGTGGCTCAGTCGGTTAAGCGTCCGACTTCAGCTCAGGTCATGATCTCATGGTTCGTGGGTTCGAGCCCTGCGTCGGACTCTGTGTTGACAGCTCGGAGCCTGGATCCTGCTTCAGATCCTGTCTCCCTTTCTCTCTGCCCCTCCCAGCTCATTCTCTCCCTCTCCTTCTCTCTCTCTCTTTCAAAAATAACTAAACATTTAAAAATGTTTTAAATATGTAATTTTATAACTAATAGATATTTAATTTACCTCCCCCCCTTACAAAAACTGTTGCTGAGTTGATTTCTTAAAACTAAAGAGACATGATAAATGAAATGAAGAATATAAAGTACTAAATTCATTGTTAAGCTATGTTGGGCAGCTCATTATTAGAGAACAGGGCCTTAGAGAAAGACCAGAGCTTTGCCCCAAATTCTTTGTGTGGAAGACCTTTCTTTTTAAATCCTAGAAGCCTTGTGACCATTTGAGGGCTGGTCCAGCCATGGCATCTGGGGGACAGAGGAGAGGGGGAGCTGTCTTCTGGCTCCGTGGCCTCCTTCCCTAGAGGCTCAGGAGACCCCATGGTTAGATCACATAAGGGATCCTGGTCATCATCACAAGCTCTCATGAAGTTCACTTATTTATTGCCCTTTAAAAGCCACAAATAAGAGAGACTGTCACTCATTTAAATGAGTTCTTTAACCAACAGAGCATTTTATACGGGAATAAGAATGAGAGGAGTTATTTACAGTTTCATTTTTGCTTGTTGGAAAATTTGAAATAAGTAGAAACAGTCTTCAATAGAAAACACTTCTCCTCTTTTTAGTTTAATGGTTGTTTGTTAAATTTGAGAATTCCTGAGACACTGATGCAGTAAAACTGCTGCAGTATAAGCTATTGAAGCTAATCACACATTGCTCTGGATCTTCTTAAGAGATTATTTTAAGTTGATAACTTGGAGACCAGTCATTCTACCCTTTGGTCACTTAGGTCTTTAGGAAATAAACTTACACTGAGACATAGCCCATTCACTTAAGTTTATTCAATTCTGGCCATAAAAACTTTATGTTCGGTAGGTCTGTCTCCCTGGTGAGCCCAGCTGGTAGAGGAAACCAAATCTATGTCAGTTACCTACTGGGCCTCTCATGTGCAAACATCCATCTACAAGGGTCCATCCATCCCTATTCAGGGGAATCACACATAAGGACTTGCAGGGTGCCAAACTACATTGTCACTTCTGGAATCTTTGTGCCTCTTACCTTTAGGAAACTGTCTTAAAGAGGCTAATATTGTATTGACTCGATATTCTCATGCGTCCATATTGTTAACCTGGCCTCTCCCAGCTAAAAGAACCAAGTCAGAAATAACCCTTCAGAAGAAACATTTTTCCAAAAATCAAAACACAGAACATTAGGGATCAACGAGTATTTCTTCCATGTAAGCTTTTCTTGAAACCCAGCAAAAGAGTAGGACATATTAAAGGTACACAAAATGTGGAATATCTAATTTTGTACATCTCATGATCAGGACATTCATTCCAAGCTATTATTTTGAAAAAAAAAATAGGATAATTCAATAGATTTTGATTTATAGAAGTTTCACCCTACTTAAAAGTGGAGGGAAAAATGGGCTCAGGAACAATCTGCAATTAAAAAGCATGACAAATGGCATAGATGGGCAAGTGGTATTCTTTGATATTAGAAAGTAACTGTACTTGAAAATAACTTTATAATTGAATAAGGGTACATTAGGAAAATATGATTCAGAACCAATATTATAGTAATTAGATAAAGGAAGCATAAATGAAATAACTGCAGGAAGAATATTTCCATAGAGATTATAAATGAGATTCTGGTGGAGCAGAAAGGCCTTTAATTGTAATTTAGTGCGCACTATAGAATTATCAGCTCAGTGTGTTACTTCATCATATAAAAGAATATCTGATAATTTTCCCTAATAAGCACATGACAGCTCTTCATATTCCTTCATTATAGCTGATTAAGTGTAAAAACAGTAGATATTCCTTTGTTGGAAAAAGAGTTCAAATCATTTTAGAAAGACAGCACAGAGCAGTTGCATTTCTAGAACACGTGATCCCAAAAGGCTAGGATTTAAGAAGTCTGGGGATTTTAAGTGGTACTTTAAAGAACTCTTCGCTTTAGTTTCTTTCATCCCTCACTTTGTATTCTCCCCCTTTTTCCCCATGAAACCTTTTTCTGTAGAGCCACCTCTTCTAGTATTTCTGGCTGTGGCTTATGGTCTCTACTCTAGCCCACAAAAGAAAGCCAAAATTACAGGGAGTTTCTGCCCCTGGGAGAGCCCTCTTGGTGTTTCTGACGACTCTAAAAACGTAGGGACTCCGTCTCTTCCTGGCCTTCACAAGCTCCCAGTTATTCACTGACCCAGTGTGAGTCTAGGAAACTGACCGTTGCACTGTCACAGCTACAAGGGTGAATCTCACTTGAGGCAAGGGACTTTCTTTTCCTTCTCCTTCCTCTCTCCCTTCCCCAGGGACTACCTTTGCTCTGCCCTGCCTCCTTCAGTCCTGGAAGACTGGTGCAAAGGAAAAGGATTGTTAATTCCTATCTAGGCTGGAGGCTTCACAGTTTTGTACTCACTGCCCTGATGACTGATGGTGGATCCTACACCAGAGCCAATAGCAAAGTATTACAAGGATATCAGTTTCTTCAGGGATGCTAACAACAAAACAAAAACAAAAACAAACACTGAAAGTAATGGTTGAATTATTTGCTTCATTTGCTCCGATCTAGCAACCAAGAGAGGAGGAAGGTGTCTTGATCTATCAACACATCACGCTAAATACTTTTTATGGTGTTCTCTCATTTCGTCCTCAGAATAGCCCAGGAAGATAGAGCTTCCCAGGCCTGCTCTATAGATGGGAAATCAGGGCTCAGAGATAAGCAGTAAGCTGCCTCAGGTCATTCAGCTGGTCAGTGATAAAAACAGCCATACACACTCATGGTATTCCCGTCTTTAGGAGCTTTTAAAATGTACTTCCTGGGCTATTCCTGGGTCAGGATATAATGGAATGGAAAGCTAAAATGAGCAAAGGGATTAAGAACCACAAAGGGGAAGCCATGAACTCAGGAATGACTATATCACCCATTCCTGTCAGGTATTTGACAAAACAAAGGACTCCTTAATATGCCTCTCTTTTTTTTTTTTTTTGGTCCATATGTGAAATGGAAATAATGCAAACTGATTAACAAATGTCTTCCTTCTCAAAGAGGAATGCTACACAGCGCAAGTAGAAAAGCTTTTCAGCAACTCTGTTATTCACATCACATATGGTGCTATGGCCGGGCAAAGTCAGACAGTCTGACCTTGGGGATAAGGTGTTTGAAACTGGCTAATGAGGCATGCCATAAGCACTGGAAAAAAAAAAAAAAAAAAAGCAAAAGCAGCAACCCCCTAAGAATTGAAATTAATATCCACAGCAGCATAGCATGGTAGACCGAGTCATTCTCACAGGGTCAAATTAGACCTTGATGTTATGTCTCCACAGTTATCCTTAGGCTTGGCACGTGGCTAGAGCTCAGTACATATGTTTGAATGGGCAAATGAATGAATTTAGGAACACCAAGATTCATTCCTTAAGTTTTGTCAGTTCGGTCTTTTAAGAAAAACCTTTCAGAGGGATCTGAATGTTCTGAGGTAAAATAAAGCAAATGCTCAATTAAGCATAAGCATTCCTGCAGTCCTTTTCCTCTGGTAATTAGCCCCTTCCCAAATGAATATACTCTTCCTATGGAAAGACATTCAGTCAAGATGTCAATGTTAATTAGTCTAATTGAAGGCAAGCTTTTACCTAAGATTGCTTGATCGATCAGTAGGTATCAATCAATAGATAGACAGATACATCTATGTGTTTATACATATTTAATAAGCTCTTCATTATTTAGGCCTGCTTGGGGAATAAGGAATATTTCCAATTAGTCAAGTATTGTAGTTAATAAAGACAGAGTTGACACATGGGGATTGTCATCTTACAAGAAATTGAGTTGTGGTCATGTGCATTTAAACACTGAAACACTGATCATCATCTTTGATGATGAAGAAGTTGCTTGAGCATCCTTTAGTGTCATAATCCACCATGGTGGAACGTGAATATCATTTATCACTCTACCATGGAGTATGATGCTGTTGGTAAGAGATTTCTATCAGATAAAGCGTCAGCTATTTACCAAATGGATAGAGACAGAGAGAGGGTGTGTTAATCATCAGCCTTGCTCCAGAAAGGATTTAAGATGGTAATGGTTATAATGATTACTTTACCAGCTTGCAGACTTAATTGTTGTTCCTTCCAGGAAGATCTCAAACACTTGGCTCAGCACTGGCTGGTTCACAATGACAATTGCACTGGAGCTCTGTGACAGGATCAATGTTTATGGCATGGTGCCCCCAGACTTCTGCAGGTAGGATTTATTCTGCAAGTGTAATTCATCAGCAGTGTTGTTGCAGGATTTATAAATATCTGATTCCAAATATCAACCATGAAACATGTCTAACTGTCTTCTTGAAGCAATTAATTAACATGTCCCAAGTTCTGGTTCTAGAAACAACAAACAGCATTTAATTATGTGATATAAAATATTGAAAGTTTTTGTTTGTACTGCTAGAGAATTAATCCATCTTGTGGGCTTCTTTTATCCTCTGAATATTTATTAACCAAAAGTAATGCAACAATTGGCATAATATTAATGATGAGCAAGCATTAAGAAATATTAGTTTTATTCTCATTTTGAAAGAATGTGGTAATTTTTAATGAATTAAGGAGGGCAATTTCTTCAACGGCAAGGCCTGTTTTCTAAAATTAAAATACTGCTCTGAGTCTCTTTTCCTCTTCACATCAGTAGCCTTGATTTGTGCTTCTAAGGCCAAAAGCACAGATAGAATTACTTTGGTGTACCACTTTATTTATTTTTTTAATTTTTTTTTTCAACGTTTATTTATTTTTGGGACAGAGAGAGACAGAGCATGAACGGGGGAGGGGCAGAGAGAGAGGGAGACACAGAATCAGAAACAGGCTCCAGGCTCTGAGCCATCAGCCCAGAGCCTGACGCGGGGCTCGAACTCACGGACCGCGAGATCGTGACCTGGCTGAAGTCGGACGCTTAACCGACTGCGCCACCCAGGCGCCCCGGTGTACCACTTTAAAGGGAACATACACACATCTTTGTTGCTACCTTAGGTTCCCACGTGCCCAGCCAGAGTTTGGTGTGTACTAACAGATGCACTGAGAAATACTCAGGGCCTGATTTGTGGAAGCCCAGTTGAAAATTCACTGTAATTTAAAGTAGCAATGTGGGTACCTTCAGAAAGCATTCTGCTCTCCAGGAATACCTGGTGACCTGCAACCTGATCTTCACATGGCAAAATCTGGGGTGAGGGCATTTTAAACTCGCTCCTTAAAATTCACACTTGCTTATATCTTCATGTGTTTTAAACCTAACACCTTCTCGAAGGCCATGGGCCTTTACACAAAATCTGCAATTTGGACGTTGGATGCAAGGATGTGAGTACTTAATCATGCTGTTTTTTCACTTTGCAACTTTTCTCCCACCCTCTTGAGCCCAAAAACCCAACACAGCAGCAGTACTAGTTTACATATGAGAGAAAGATTAGAAGGTTATACAGAATAGGCCTTTGATATTTGCCCAGACTCACTCGTCCCCGTGGATGGCCTGATGTAGCAAGGAAGGGTGTGCACTCTGGAGTCAGAAGGCAAGGTTCAGGGCTCCACCTGGCTACTTACTAACCGAGTGTGAGCTTGAGCTGGTTGTTCAATCTCTCTGTGTCTCAGTTTCCTCCTCATTAGAAGTGGACATGATGATACTAATAGAGTCGGCCATGGGGTTGTAGGTGGATTAAATAAGTTAATACACATGAAGTGCTTGGACCGGCACCTATACATGGCAAGTTATCTTGGATCCCCATCCGATTCCTCATTACTGAACCCATAGCCTTGTTTCCCTGTTTAGCAATCCATGTGCAAAAAGTAGGTAAGATAGTGTAAAAAAAAAAAAAAGCCCAACCTCCTCAACCCAACAGGCTAACAAAGGCAGTGAGAACAGTGCTTATGGGCATGCAAAGAGCCGTCAAAGTTGATAGCTGTATGGCAGATATAATTATGGAATATTGCCATTAGGACTCCAGAGAGAAAGAGCATGAATAAATTGAAATGTTAATGACTTAGAGCATTCAAGGAAATATTCCATTTATTATAGAAAACAAATGAAAGGCAAGTTAACCTGCCATTTCTCTTACTCAGAGCTAGTTCATCATGACTGCATGATCATAGGAGGGGGACAGCTTATGGGATGCCGCTAACAAGGGAAGGGAGTCAAGATACTGTTGGTGCACCGTCTGTTGCCACCGGCTCTGGCTTTCTGTTCCCCAGCCACCATCCCAAAGGTTCCACAGTTGCTTTCACAAAATGCTATCTCCAACAACTCTTCAGGAGAATCCCTGTACCCTGTACACGGTGTCCTGTCAGAGTAAGTGGAGAAGCTGGGTGTCGTGTGGCAGAGAGGGTTGGGCTGCAGGGAGTGTCCTGCTCAGTGAGAATTCCTGTTAGAATGGCTAAGCAGGGAAGAGCCGGGGCAGCACAGACTGACTCCCACATTCCTTTAATCTTTGCTTCCAGGACATGTTAGCTGAACCACCCAGTTAGAAACAGGGGTCACCTTGAGCCTTGCTTCCCTCATCTGCAAGATGGTAATAAGAAAATGGTATTAAAAGCAAGCAGGTCATGGTGAAGGTTGAATGAGGTCATGGATGTAGAATGTCTGACACAGTGCCCAGCACACAGTGCTCAGGAAAGACTATTAAGGTTATGAATATTACTAATATATTATGAATATACTAATATATGAATATACTAATATATTAATATTATATTGTAAGATATGTAAAATAATTATTAATGTTATCCAAAGTCCTTGAGAGTTGCCCCAAAAGGTACTAAGAATTTTGGGGGATTCAAAGAATAAAACACAGCTCTTGCCTTCTAGAAACTTACAGTAAGCCGTATCCACACAAAAATGTAATGAACCCAACACAGCCACTTTTGCAAACAGTATCTACCACCAGAGAATGAAAAAGCAACTTGTAAGTCAGTCCAGCTGCTCATCTAACCATTTCCCTTTTTTGTTTTTGTTTTGAAAGAAGTTGAGAACTATATGGGCCAAGCAGGGTTCATGTGTCATGAGCTCTAGGACTTATGGAGGTCAGATATCCCAGGGTCCAGAAATGGTAGGGACAGCTCTGTGAGGTGGCAGAACTCAACCTGGTGAGTCCGCCAGAATATAAACTCTCCAAAGGCAGAGATTTTTGTGTATTCGGTTCACTATTTGAGCCCTGGTGCACAGTCCCACATGTGTTTACCTTCCTAGCCTATAGCAGATGTGTCGTAAATATCAAGAGAATGAATAGCCCTGTCCCCTACTCTCTCCTTAGTGCTCTTGTAAAAGGGTATTTGCATGGGTGAAAAAATAACCATTTCTGCTCCTCAGAAGCTATGGGACTTTGAGAAAGTTATTTGACCTTATTGACCTTAATGATCTTGGGCAAGTTACTTAATGACTATCCCTGAAGCCTTAGCTTCTGTATCTGTAAGATGGTGAAGACAGCCATACTTACTTTAAGGGTTTATATGATAATGCCACAAGATAACAGATGAGGAAGGTTTGGCACACCCCTGGTGTTTATTAAGCACACATTTACATGTACATTTACCAGGTGAAAGGACTCACTAATCTGCAAGCGTGGATGTCCAGCAGCACATTTTAAGGAGAGGTCTAGCAGATGGTGCCCAGTTGGTGAGGAGAGCCTGGTTGCTAGAAAAGGAAAAACATATATGACCTCCTGTATGAACTGGATCCCACTTTTCTTTTTTTCTTTTTTTCTTTTTTTCTTTTTTTTTCAACGTTTATTTATTTTTGGGACAGAGAGAGACAGAGCATGAACGGGGGAGGGTCAGAGAGAGAGGGAGACACAGAATCGGAAACAGGCTCCAGGCTCCGAGCCATCAGCCCAGAGCCCGACGCGGGGCTCGAACTCACGGACCACGAGATCGTGACCTGGCTGAAGTCGGACGCTTAACCGACTGCGCCACCCAGGCGCCCCTGGATCCCACTTTTCTACATCATTGGGAATTGGCTTCACGTGGCCTCCAGCTCCTACAGTATGTCAACACATGAGGCTGCTCTAGTGTACCTACCCATTCTTTTTTTTTT